CTGATTTTCGGTTCTTCTCTCCGGTCTCCCCGTCTCTACTAATATCTGTGCTTCCGCTCTGCAATACACAAGTAAAGTTCTAATGAATATGTTTATAGATTTCAACTTCAAGATTATAATTCCATACGCATTATACTGAAGGAAATACTTAAAATAATTGAAGAAAATTACTAGTGGTATGGAGAATTAAAATTTTCATGAAGAATTTGTGTATTTTATCAAATAACAAACATTTTCTGATTTTCAAACACAAAACAGTGAGAATGCCTTTGTGTATTCATGTAAAATGATGACGAAATTCCATTTTCTTGAAATCTTTTCTACATGTATATCGAAATAAAAATTTTCAACCACTTTTCATTTCAGTTAGAACTCCTTACCGACGCCGTGGAAGGTCTGTTGGAGCCTCGGGTGTCAGGTCTAGGGTCACCTGAGGCAGCAGAGGCTGTAATTGATATAAATAATCCAATTAATAATAGCATTAATTAAACTGATTTCAAGACAAGGTCATTGGAATAGTTTGTTTTTCAAGGAAACTTCAAGACTTCAGGGCTGTTGTATCGATATTGAAAAACCTTTGTTCTAGAACTGCAGAGGTGTTCCTGGGATTAAAGTTACAAAAATTTGAGTTACTTGAAAGACCTTTTCTTTGTCTCTGTTTCCTGACCCGATTTATATGAATAGTCACGTGACTAGATCTGCAGGAAATGTTAGACCAAAGGGAAGTTGTGGATAAATGTGTGATTTAAACCTTTAAAAATTAGGGTAACCCCAGTGACGTCAATACATGGTCAAATTTCCAGAATGTAAAGAGAAAGAAACTAAAAATGATTTTTAAGATTAAATTTTCATCTTGCTTTATCATTTAGCAAATACCTCTTAACAGACGTCATGTTTTTTTATCTTTCATTAATTGATGTTTCTTTTTGAAAATGTATTTCATTCATCTATACATTAACCCTCAATAACAATCGAAACAAACTATTAGGTCTATTTTATATAAACATCTATAAGTTTTATACAATACCAAGATAAAAAAAACTCATTTAATTAAGATATTAAAGATTTAGAGAGGAATCGGAATGAATACGAATCAAATACAGAATACTTCATTTACTCCGTAAGTATTACTCATGCATCTACAAGGAAATGTTATATTTCCCTTATATCTAATATCAATGGTCAATAAGTAGAGAAAGAAAATATTTTTGAAACTTTCTCTGCAGATAGTTTGTTTTGTTTGATAAGTTTACTCTTCATCCTTTTCAAAAAACATTCTCTCAGATTACATTATTATTCTTTTCTACCGAAATTCTGCTACAAAATATTTCTTAAAATTGATAAACTCTCTTACCATCATCCACTAGCGGATGGACGACCATGACGTTGCTGCTCGGGAGATTGAGTTTCTCCATCAGAGACGTATATCTGTTATCACTCCTCATATCGTGCAGGACGGTGGTGAACATCTCGTAACCCCTCTCTCCTGTCTGGATCAGCACATTTAGGAACTTCTCGGCCTTCATTTGTCGCGTGCTAGGTTGCGCCATCATAATGTCTCTCTTATTTTGAGCAGTAAATATCCCAGCCTCCATCATCGCGTCGATGAAATCCTCTACATAAATCTCATTCTTCAAATACTGCCAATTCTTCCAAAGCATTCGCTCATCCATTTTGACGCGATGCCTTTCCTTCGGTGCGATGATTCAGTAACTAGATTCTTTAAGTTGTTCGTTCTTTCCGATATTGTCTTATACTGCCAAATCTTTCGAGGCAAAGCCAGTGTTATCCTCATAAGAGAATGAACAACAGAATGACTTGGCAACGCAGAGGGTATCTCCAATTGATCAAAACTTAATTCAAGGACTTTGTCACGAGAAATTATGCAGCACAAAATCTAACCTCCTTAACGAACCTCGCCAATTTGCATACAGGATCGCTATTGGGTATCATCTCATCTTATTATTCTTTATTAAGATTTAAGTAATAAAAACATAACAGAAATAGAGGCAGGCATTTTTGTTGGCACGATGCTATCTCTGTGGTTTAAAGCTCTGACTTTTTGTGTGCAATAGATCGAAGTATGTACGTCCTATTGTTATTCCAGGTGCAGGGGTTGCTGGTTGTTGTTCTAAAGACATAGCATCAAAGCGCGAGATGCGAATGTCACGGAACAGCATTCCCATTTGTTTCTCGCATGGTATTTATGAAAAGTTGAAATAAACACTAGTTAATTCAATCGGAATTTAAAGATTTTACACTTTAAACTATACATTGTTGTCTAATGTTGTTTACATTATTGTCTAACACGTCTGTACACAAAATAAGAGGTCATTGTACTTCCTATAGACTCTTTCGTATTTTAAAAAGAAATGTATCCTGTGAACTTTAAAGTTCCTTTTTTGACTTTACACATTGAAACCAGCTTTGTTTAAAAAAAAAAGATTGAAGTCACATAATATATTAAAGTTAATTTAACAGTCTGATATACATGTACATTGTAGTTTCTGTTCTATCAAATGTCTTCCGGCTTCTGACTTTCCTTCATGCCGAAGAATGAATCTGAAGCGTTGGAGTATTTTAAGCTCACTTCAACAAAGTTGGGGGGGGGGGGAGCTTATTTGATATCCTCGGCGTAGGCGTCCCAGGTTAAAGATCCTCTTTTTAAGTACTCTTCGCTTTACATTAATTAGACATGCATGGAAGATGCTTCTAATGTATTTCATAATGTACCAGTCGAGGTTCCAGATGCTGCAATTTCAGCAAAGAAATGAGCAGGTTAATGTTTTGGGAGACATGTTTAAGTTTTTGGTCTAGGTTAAAGTTTTTGGTGCAGTTCCCATTTCCATTAAACTATGATGACCAAACTTGCATGGATGATACTTCTAAGGATGCATACTACCAGGCTTGCTTCGGATGCAAGATATTACTTACATTTTCTGATGAGTGAACAGTTTAAAGCTTTGGTGCAGGTATTATTTCCAAGGAACTATGAGTCCTATGTTGACCAAACTTGTATTGATGATACATCTAAGGAAGCACATCACCAGGCTTGCTTCGTATGATAGTTCTGACCTACTAAGACTGCTCCTAATTTTTGGAGCAGGTTTATTTTCCGGAAAATGGAGCTGGTTAAAGTTTTGGGCGCAGGTCTATTACCGAGGAACTATTTGGCCTATCTTCACCAAAGCATGGATAATGCATCAAGGGATAAATACTCACAAACTTGCTTCAGTTGCCGGACTCGAATAACATTTTATTGATGGGTGATTAGTTTGAGGTTATTTGATGAGACTTTGCACAAATAATAGCGAGCTGCCAGTTCAAACTTGCATAAATGTTGCATCTTGTATGGAATCCGGATAGGGCCATGCAGTTCACTATCGCATCATCGCACCATCGAGGTTTGGGTTGATAATGCGATGACACGATAATGCGATGACGATGAAGCGATGGTGCGATAACGATGAAGTGATGGTGCGATAGTGCGATGACGATGAAGCGATGGCGCGATAATGCGATGACGATGGTACGATAGCACGATGAAGCGATGGTGCTATGACGCGATGGTGCGATAACGATGGCGCGATGGTACGATGACGATGAAGCGATATTCACTTTTACTCTATCGTTCTATCGCACCATCGTCATCGCGCTATCGCACCATCGCATCATCGTCATCGCGCTATCGCACCATAGCTCTATCGTCATCGCTTCATCGTTATCGCGCCATCGCATTATAAGTCGATGCTCGATGGTGCGATAGTAAACTGCATGGCCCTATCCGGATTCCATAATCTTGGGATGTAAACTGCTAGATGTTTATTTTAACTTTGCTTTCTTAAAGACAACCTTCATTAAGGTGAGCTCAGTTTCATCTGTATAATGAAATTAAAAAGAAAGACAACGAACAGTAATTCTCAAAACTCATCAGAGGTATGATCAGGTGCCATGGAGGGGTAAACATCATCTGTTAAGTTTAACCCCGCCGAGTATTTCTCGTCATGACCGGGTAAAAGAAAAAACTCGTCGACAATTCTGTGCGAAAAACCATCAACATGCAACTGAACAAAATATTGCATTTTCTGACAAGTTTATTGTATCCACTATAGATTTTGCAAAATGTTGACTTTAAATGAGACTTGATATCTTTGTTTTATCTTTTATTAGGTGAACGTAGGACGTGCTCTCGCGTCATTTCCCAGATGTGAACTCTGTACCTCTATATGCAGGTAATACGGGTATATTGTTCGCTTACAATTGATAATAGCTTAATTATCAATTATCTCATTTATCATAAGTAAAAGTTAAAAGTTTTAACTCACATAAAACCCTCCTTTTTCTCGTTTTAAGAGATGTCTAACTCGACATAATTATAATGATATTTCTCATTATGGTAGCAAACAAACACATTCTATGTCTAATAATAGTAAGATTTGTTTTAATTATGGTGGCTCAATTGTCTTCAACTTTATATATTTTATATGCTGTAGAATGAATGTTATTAATCACTGGATTGATGTTTATTCTTCTGACTCGAAATCTTTCTTACATTACAACTTGAGCAACTTTATCAAAATTCTTTTTGACTGAAACGTTTTTGATAGGGTCATTTAATGACTGTTGAAGAACTGAACAAACATAGGGCGTGAGTTTTATATCCGTCCAGGAGTCTTAATCTCCACTACCTGTAATGATAACATTCCAAGGACAAAAAAATTTATCCAAAATCTGACATATCACTTTTTAATGGAGTACGATTGGATAATATTTAAAACAAAAACAGTCTTGAGTAAACTGTGTATTGAATATCTTACAAAGTTTGGAACATTGTTAATATTTTCCAGCATTCTTTGTATATTATGCGGAGATGTGGCTCACCACAGAAGTATTAGTTTATATTATACAAATACATTACAATTGACCTTAAATATTTTTCAAATATCTTAAAAGTACCTTAAAATACTTTGGATGTCATAAAAATAATTCAATATTGCATATAAAAGTATTTATTTTGTATTTCACTTCTTTGCATTAGTACATACGTTGTACATTGAAAGATGTGTAAAACAAACGGTGAAAAGTTAATAAATTAAAAAGAATACATTAATAATAATTCTCCAATAAAATTCAGCCAATCAAATAACTTATAATATCTACATCTGCATGACTTTCCTCACACATCCCAGAATAAATGGCACCAAATATAGCAAAATTCCAACACTCCAAAAGATGATCAGTAAGTTCTGAGAATGTGAACTTGATGTTCAAAATGCTCCATGTATAAGACATAATAGTTTGGCAAAAAAGGTTAATTTTATGTCTTCAAAACAACAAAAACAGATCAGTATATAGTATACGGTAACCATACAGCTTACATAATTAAGATTCTAGATTATGCAATACATTATTTTGTTATATTCTTCACAAGTTTTATTCATAATGATAAGCAGGTCAGCATTTCATGAAACCAAATTGCAAAAGTATTTGTTGCTGATATATTTTTTCACATTGAAGTTTTTCCTAGAATATTTCAAATACACATTTGTCAAATCTAGAATTACTTATTATCAGAGAGAATTAAATATTTGTAATATATATATTTTAATATCTCAGATAAAAGGGTCAAATTAATTCGAAGTTTTGAATTTAATACACTACTTCCGATTGTAAATAAAACCATTGTAACATATTTGACATAACCCTGGCATTACTTTGGACCTGATAACCCTAACTTCAACTAATCGTCAGTATGATATAAAAATTGCATTATTTCTTGTACATGTAGTTTAAAGTAAAGACTGCAATTTTTCAAAAATTAATATAATTTGTTTGGATTCACTGAATGCTTTCGAAACATTTATGACCAATCCCTCACAGATGGTCGTGATATTACTACCGTTTCTCTTTGTGTTTAGCTCTGCTGTTGTTTTACATATTTGACCCAGTGATCAATGAAGCATTAGGGGCTTCTGACATTGTAGGAACAGTCAAACTAATGCTGCGATTGGAAGAATGGATCCGCGGACCCATAGGAACTTCGGTAGCCTTCCCGGTTTTAAGGTTTTCCAGTTTTTCTAGCCATATTTTGTAAAGTTCATACGATTCTAAGGACTGCATCCGGGGTACTTGCCATTTCGTTTTCGTGATGGAAGTCCCTTCATTGTCAAGGGCAACAGAACAGGGGTTAAGGTTCTTTGAAAGGTGGCCTGCAGATCGAGATCTAGAGTTGTCCACCCTAGAACCCTGAGGAAGCTTCCACTGGATACCTATTGTTTCAATCTTACTTCTTCCTTTCCTATAAGACTGGTGTTTGAGTAACGCAGAGTCACTTTTAAAACTTTTCTGACTACATGGAGTTGAATTCATATCACTTCTTTTATCTTGAACTGGTGAAAACAACTCCGGTGTTTTTCTTACGAACACTGCGCTCTTTGGTGCTGGTTTCTCTTTTTTCTCTCTGTCAACTCCGCTCCAAGTAACCCGTCTTGCTGATTTTTGCTTCGAAAATTCCTTTGGCGATAAGGCAGGTGAAGATCGGTTGCTATCTATGTCAAGGTCATTCATAGACAAGGTCAAATCTTCATAATCAGGAGTGATTGGCATTTGGCCTCTCTTCAAAATACTGTTTTCAGGTTTGGCAATGGAATGTTTATCCGGGTATCTATTCTGAGGTAAGAAAACCCCATTATGTTTGAAGACTTTGATGAAAGTTGGGTCATCCTTATCAATGGGAACGCGGGGATATGTTGCTGGTCGGTCATTTCGTTTGACAAAAGCGGTTTCTCCATTGGTATGATCAATTATGACGCGCTTGGCAACGGGTGTGGTCGATCGGTGCGAAATTTGAGGAAGCGTCGAAGATGGCGTTTTCCTATTCTCGAAGACCATTTTCATTTTCTCTTGGTTCCTTCTGACCTGATCACTGTTTCTCCTCATCTGTTCCTGGCGTTTCATCAGCAGATGACCTTCATTGCTGATACGATTCTTTTCCATTTGCATTTCGGAACTGAATTTTTTATTCAGACTAGAAAGGCGCAGATACTCTTTGAGATTTTCTCTCCTTAATTTATTCACAACTTCTGTTCTATTACAAAGTTCTCCCGGTATGCTTTGCCTTAGTTTGGTTGCAATGCTGCTTTTGAGTAAGTTTTTGTCAACCACGTTATTATGGACTAAGTACACGTCTTCTCTGACTTTAAAAATCTTTGTTTTCCCGCTCTCACTTTTAAATGAATTACTTCTATCTTTAGAATTTCTGTCCAGTGTTGAGCATCTTGAACTAGATTCCTTCTCTTCTAGAGTCGGAGATCCTTTCATTTTGAAAATTCTTCACCGTGAAGATGTCTTTGAATCTTTGTGTCTAGAAGAAAGTGAAAAAGAATTAAGTTTTACAACTTTTATATTTCTTAACCGTCAATACCTATGACTAAAACGGTTGTCCCAGATAAGCAAGATTCAAAGACGACGTTAGAGCATATTATCTCTGGAATTAATAAGTCCAAGAACGATCTTGTTTGTAACGAGACAACCAACTGTTTGCAGTAATCGAGATAAAAACTGCTCTTATTACACACATAAAATATGTTTCTCTCGGGACGAATGCCCTGTCTCCCATTTGCTTTCAAGTGGGGGAACCAGGGAAGTAACATTCGTTTTATATTGACAAACACGGACTTGACTTCTGCCACCTTCTCAAAAGATTATCGAGTATATCTTATCTACAAATATAAGCTTTTCATCGATCAAACACATTTATAAAGTACCGACTCAACTTACGAAGACTGGAATCTATCAAAAATGATATACTCTGAACTATTGTCTACAAGACAACTCAAGGCTGATGGCATTTTAAAGGAAATCGTTAAAATCTGGGAGAACACTTCAATTAAAAATCAAAAATATTTGTAAAAATAAAGACGAACTTATGAAAAGGCATTGATATATATACACAAAATGAAAAAAATGATAAATTTCCTCTAAATCAATAAATGTGTTTTTTTTCAGATCTTGAAATGAAGAATACTTTAATTTTCATGACGCACTTATTGTGACTGAGAGGAAACGACACAAAGCAAAGCATCAAAGGACGAAATGATAGGAGGCAAATTGCAAAGATTTTTAATAAAAAAAAAAGCAAACATGTCGAGTATTTATTTGACACAAAGATTTTTTGTCTAACTGGAAAAAAAAATACTGAGTGTACATTTTTGTGTAAGCTGTGCTCTCCTCCTCCTTCGTTTGGGAAAGGACAACCGACATTTGTTTAAAGAGGGTTTTATTATAATACTTCAAACCGACTAAGGCCAGTTAGCGTCAATATCTGCTGCATATTAAATCCATGAAGCCTACTTGACTTCTTAATGAAACCAGGGCAGGAATGCGGACTTTTTTCAAATAATAAAAGAGACGTTCCAATTGGTCAGATTCTAGATGTACTTTGTACCTATTGGTCAAATCACAATCTCCCTTTTATTTATCCTGATTTATATCCTGTTGTATATTTGTCCTTTCCTTTAAGTATTCTTTATTTTATTACCAAAGTGTATCTCATTTTCTGATAGAAATACGAGAATGAGATCTGTTCAGCACTTCTAACTTGTTTGATATGTCAATTGAATTTTATTAAATGAATTATTACCTGAAGAACTTGTCAATATTCCTATAAAATAACCGCAAAACCCTTTTGTCAGGTAAGTAATTGGGGACAGTTTCTCAGGTTTACTACTTCATATTTTCTTCATTAAATAATACCCTTTTTTCAAAAAAACTCTTTCAATTTCAAAAAAAGAAAGACTTAGATGGAAACTTCAATCACTGAAGATCAGTGTCGAATTTTATATATCACTTTTCATAATCAAGCTATTTTGGTTCTGTCAATCCTTTTTTGATTTCTTTAAAGTATTGTGAGTTATATTAACCAGGAAAATATCTTTGAAAATGCTCAAAATTAAAAGCAGGAATTTATTTTACATGAGATTATCTTCACCATTATAAATACTCATGTATCTTGTTTTTGTTTGCTAAAATTAATAGGTATGATTAGAAAATTTTAAGTCTTTTATAACCCAGTATCCAACTTTGTCTGATTACATGTGCACGACATTATAAAAATGATTTTTAATCTGTTGATTACGAATTTTTTTAAACCTGTAAGGTCCCTGATAATAAATAATACAATTTAGTTGATAATTTTTAGATAAATGCAAAAATAAATCTGGATCAGTCAATGTTTATCTGTTTTTAAATATAAAAACAATAACGCATTGATACATTATTTATATATGAAAAACAATGCTTGAAAATGGTATACAATGAATTGGTAACAGAATTTTAGTTTTCTGAATCTCATATTAAGTTGAATCTGAAGAAGTGATTAAAATTATGACTATAGCCTTGCATTCAAATAGTTCCAGATATATCATTCGACTTTTTTTAAAAGACATGGCTAAATACAATCCTTGAAAATCTTGACATTGAGAAATAAATTTTAAAGATCAATAGTCCTGTACGTTTTTTATGGAATGTTTTACCTGTATAAATATGACCTCAAAAATTGATAAATATAGCTTCAAAATAAGCCAACACTTTTGTGTTCCAACTCGCACACGATAACTACAGGTATATTACAGGTATACTTTATCTGAACTGTAGGTCGATCACCATACAAAATGACTTTTTTTAACCCCCATACTTAATATGTAATATTGTCAAACCTTTTTGATTTCCTGATACAGACGCCACAAAAGAGAAAACGTACATGTACATACCCAAATCATCCTGGGTTGATGGAGTTACAGTCGGTGAAGAATTATTCTGACACTTGTAAACCACACAGACAAAATGGTCTTTCAACAGACAGAGCAACGAGGATTTTTCATAAAGACAAGGATAGATTTAAGGATTAAATGTATGGAGGCATGCCGGCGTGTTGATGGTTAAGGTTAAAGCGATCAATGTTGACCGTCCGTGATCTGTGAAGAACTATTGGCGACCAACATTGAATACCTTTAGAAATTTGAATGGTAAAGTTTTTTTATTGCAGTTTTTAACGAAGACGTATGTACCAATGTACCGTTTCCTTTTATCAACGCAAAATGTTCAGATTATAAATTGAAATGTATAAAGTTTATCTTTGTAGCAAATATATACCATAAAGCTGGCTTTGATTTCGGAAGACCTCGCCTCCTTAGCATTGTTAGAAACTCTGGAATCCATTAGCTAAGTCTTTGAATATTTAATTTTTCGTCTGTTAAATGCAGCAAAATGAGATCTACCAATTGTTTACATTATCACAATAGATACATACTCTAGTTTAAAGTCTAACAATAGTTAATTCACATTGATTTTTAAGGCAAACATTGGGATGAATTATCACAGGCTGAATCGAGGGACTTTTATTAAATCTCTAATGGAGCGTTCTACAGTGTAGTGTCTAATGCAGCAGGCAATTCGACAGTCGATATTTAAATGCTAATGATTCAAATCCAATTCAATAGATTTTTTTAAAGATAATTAAATAAATTATTTTGGTTAGAAACTTATACGTAATTTATTAAGGAGAGCCGGGATTACGGCACAAAGTTGATATGACCCCTCCGCCCACCCGTGGGGATAAAAGTATCGTTGCAACAAAATGCTGTAAGCTGGATCAAAACCTTTGTTGGTTTAAATAATTGAAGAACAGATTGCTATGCTGATATTAATTCTTCTGTAAATAAATAACATCCGTTAAAAGAACACGCAGCAAACGAGCTAATACAAGAAAACAGAAGAGCAAGCACAGATGACTATATTAATATTCTTATTATTGTTTTTTAGGATACTAATTTTTTTTGAAGAATAATAAAATCTGATAAAATTCAATTTGTCAAACTGAATCACAGTAACGCATAGAAATATAGAGAATATGAGAAGAAATTACAGAAATAAAGCAATATGTTGCATACCTATATATTCCATTGTTACCAACTTTATGATAACAATATTGCCCACAGCATATACATTCTAACTATGCATGTCACAAATAGATACGTAAATGTACTAGTATAAGAAAAGTCAGAAGTACTGCTTCAGACTGTAAGCTTAAAATATTATTGCAAAAATAAAGTGAAGTAAATGAAGATGGCGTCAAAATATTTTACCTTTGACCTGTATGACCTTGACCCACACTGTACATAAAATACGGATTTTCCTTATACTTATTCCTAATTATAAACGAATGTAAAGTTATACTTAATATTTAGTGGCAGGTTGTTAAAACACACGTAGATAACATGAACATATTTTAAATGTAGGCTCGAGAAAGTCCAATACAGGTTTATGGCATGTCTGAATTCAATCACAGAATAGGGTGAAGTGATTGCACCGTCCGCCTTAAACTATATACTCCGACCGGCAAGCGTTACAGGTTTGTTACCATCAATTTTACTTTCCAAAGGACAAAAACCACGGTTGTTTCAATCTTATGTTTGGAATTAACACAAAACATTAATACTAGTATAATAGGGCAAAGACACACGTCGACTGTGATTTTCAATCTGATCACAAATAAATTAATGAAATAAATGTTTGTATAACTCTAATTCTTTTAAAAGCATACCGACATATTATATTTATTTCATTAGATAATTAAAGGATAAATAAACTTTAAGCACAGTAGTTTCCCAATTAAACCCATTCATAGAGGTGCACCCACGACCCATCCACTTCTACATTTAATCGCATTAGCTACCGGGGACTTTAACTCCTTCATTGTAACAGAGAAAACAAGATGAATATGGTTTTCATATACGTGTATAGAATTCTTATCCAATAAACGTTATTTCTTTATCTCTGAATATATTTGTCAATGACTTCATTTCTCAAAATTGGCATCGAGTCAAAACAGTCAAGCTGGAGAAATAAAAATTATTTTTGTGTCGTGCACCTGGATGATTTGTATCCGGGTCCTAGAGTTATTATACTGCAAAAATATTTTTGATGCTATATAAGTAAATTAAATGATTGCGATTTTTTATTATTCTTACTCTGTCATGAACACACATCTTTCGAATTTAGTACCCTTGAAACAACAGTACCACAGACATGCTATCTGGTTCTTTGTTAGTGATGCATATTCGTTAAAATCCCCTACGTATGTTTTAAAGCATATCAAACTTTTTTAAAATTCATTCGATCAGAAGCTGTCGATCTTGTTATAACATCGATAATTTGAAAAATAACAAACGTTTGCAAATTAATACTAAGTAAAACGAAATATTAAAATTTACCTATTTCATGCGCTAGATACCACGTTATCATCTCATTAAATCCTTCCACTGAACGCCACAGAAGATTGTTTAAGGAAAACGAATGTTTATCCGTCTGCTATAGTTAAAGCTGTTTTTAAAAATCGTTATAGATCTCTCAATCGGAATGTATTAAAAGTCTAACTCACAATAAATCGCCTAAAGTTCTTTTGCTAACCTCTTAATGCTATTAATTTTAACAATATAAACTTAACGGAAGGAAACCACGCAGTCACCTTAAGACACAAACAATAAACTACCATGGAAAAGTTGTTGGGGTCTTTTCTTGATGATATATATAAAAAGATGGGAAATAGTTTTGTAATTTTATAAAGATACCCTGGGGTAGGGATATGTAATTATTTGTATCCTCAAATGATAGTGATATTTATGCAATGCAATTTTCATTGAACATTTCCTTGATGTCTCAACTGCCTCATGATTGGCTTTGATTAAATTAAATGATACACTAATCTTAAACGAACATACATGTATTCTACCCTATTTCGAATTAAACTTGGCATTAGGCATTGTTATATGTATAGTATTGTGCCATCAGTTTACATCATTTTTAAAAATAGTTAACGACACTAAAGAAGAATCTGAATCGAGCGTTCCAGGGGAAACACCGGCTTGCTACTTTTCTATCAATCTCCGTTTTTCTGAAATAAAAAGGAAGATGTAATATGCAATATCTCATTAGATTTTTTAATTGACTTTTATTGAAGTTCATAAGTTACCGAACAACAAAGCTTCATTGTGAACGTGATGACTTTTCTTTTGTTAACTTCCCTTTTTATGTAACAATATACAACTGTACTATTATATTGCATATTGAGTTTATCTACCAGTTGATTAGATACGCAAAAGTATGACCTACAAGAAAAATATTTTTCTAAATTAAGGTAAGCTATTGATAAATAAGTTGAAGATACAATGATATCAAACGGTTTTGTTGAAAGCCAAAATTTTGCAAAACATATTATTGACATGATCATCTTGTCAGCAACAGAAATCTTCGCTAGCCTAGGGTTTCCTACAATGTTGTAGAGAAGATTTCGGATCGAAAACCTTTGGCTAGCGAAGAGGGCAACAGGATATCGTTAAGTAGAATGCAGACTAATTTTTTTCTTATAAATTGATTGACTATTATATTAACACTGTATTTTCTACGGATTTTTGGTTTGCCTGGTTTTGACAAGGAGTACATGTACACTGCGAAAACAACTTAATTAAAATGAACATATTTTACAATAGAAAATTTAAACTGATTATGAGTTTTTCCCGATTATATGCCCTATAGCTATAAATACTCACAGGCGGCATTTAAATTATTATATTCCTACCCCCCCCCCCCCCCCCCCCTCAAGAAAAAACAACAATTAAATAACATTCTGATAAAGAGAGAAAACTAGTAATGTTTTTATTCATGACATTGTTGATCTTATTAAAATTTCTTGGCTTAATATAAAGAAGTCTCAACAAAACAAAATGGATTATTCAATAGATTAGGTCATTAAGCTATGACCACCTTTACTCACTCTTTGGCCTTTGCTTGAACTCTGTATTTATATGTTACAAAAACTTTACAGTTCAGTGAGACCATAACATATTCACACAATCTTAACCTAACTCTGGGCGTTTACCATGGACTAAGGACTATTAATTTTGATATATAAAAAAACTACTTTTATGCAATTTTCTTGTTTACGATTTTTCAGTTACTTGTAAATGAGTTAATTTAAAGAAGAATTTTAATCGATGTAATGTACATGTATATACCTTTCTTAGAGTCTGAACATAAGCCAAGAGGAAATGAAGATCAAATTATTGGTATAGGGATGTGTGTATGACATGTATAATTGTAAAGATTTTTCGTCTATTATTTTTAAAAAGAGAACAGTTTTTCAAGATTATATTTATTTTTGATACTAGTCCAATTATAAGTCTTTACTCTATGTCCTGAACATAATGCCCATGCAGGGAAGATTTTGGCAAAATGTTAAGAAAAAGATATTCTTAAATATATTAGTAATCCACTTGAAGACGTTACTGGTCGCTACCCTGTGGTTTGATCACTGAGTCATCAATTTTGGTAATAAAGGATTAAGTACTTATTGGAATACTATGCAATATGTAATGATGCTGAGATTGAGAGGCTGGATGTCCATGAGTAAAGGAGCATCCCCTGTCGACCGGTCACATCCACCGTGTGCTCCTTGTCTTGATCGGGAAATCCGTCGACAATGCAGTGTGTAAATAATGGCCTAACAATCAGTATGAAAAACGTCTGTCAGCATTTGACTCAATGATAAATTGTATTTGCTGACAGGTCATCGTATCGACCATAAAACGAAATGATTACTTTAAATGAGACTGCTGATAATTTGGTTTTATCAATTTGTTTGTCAATTTATCTTGTTTTAGAATTGGTACATATACGTAGAGCATGGCATGCTCTTGTGTATCGAATCAACTGAGTGATATAAACTCCGTATGCAGTTTATGAAGGTATATTGCTGCACAGGCAAGGTAAGTTGACGATTAAAAAGTAAAGTCATCACGTTTATCAAAAAGCTTGGTTATAAGATTATCATTAAAGTCTTTTCAAAGTAAAATATCCAGATATGAAACAGATATGTTTGACTCTTTGTATCTTTTATCTCAAGCTCTCTGGGATATATCGTAGTGACATAAGAATGGAAATAATAATTATCCTGGGGAATGGTTGTGTATAAAGTTGAAAAGTCCCAAGTATTTAGGCTGTTGATTTGATAAAATCTAACTGTGATTTAAAATTTTCCAAAAGTTTCTGGGAACTTTTAAGTATCCTCATCTGATTTACACGACTTCTTGAATATATTGTTGCACAGTACACTTGAAGTTTCTACTTTACTGTTGTTAATATCTTAGTGAGGAGCAAAGAAAGAGCTTTGGTTGAACATTTACTGGAACCCGCTATATTTTTTTTAAAAAGATTTTTATGCAGTTTCGGAATCCAGTATAGATATGGTTATTCAAATTCATTTTTGTTGTTTGGAATATCAAAAATATTGAAAACTATCATATGATTTTGAAGAATTTCTTCCTTAGAAAGGGAACTATGCGTATAAGTTGGATTACCACTTGTAGAATTAAATCCAAGTTCCTCTAAAATACAATTTATATAATGAGCCTTTTAAACAAAGATAATGTTGTTACCTACTTTGTCAGAAGGGACCAGTATGTACTGATCTTGTAATCTATATGTCTTTTTTCACTCCTGGATTATTGAATACAGAAGGATAGATGGTTTTCATATTGCCCATCAATCTTTTAATGCACGATTTTAATATACATCTGATACATTCTGACAAAGTGCCAAGGTCTTCTTTTTTATGTCTGGCCCATCACCTGGCGTGATCTTCTAAGAACTATTGTTCCGGGTAGCCAATCATTTCATAATTTAAGGGCTAAATGCTCATTACAATCATGAAAAAGTTTGCCTGCTTATTGTTCTTGAGTTGATTAAGAAGATTTCAAATATGCAACTCATCTTTTGTTAATAGATGATTATCTCGGCATGAATCATGGACCAAGGTGCGAAGAATTGCACACTATTCTGGTAAGAGGTCGAGTACACATTATAGTGATGAAACATGGAGACAACGAACAGTATTCCAGATCAAAAGCCCATAAAACAATACAAAATAGAAGCAGAACAAACACGGACCTCCAAAGCAGCAGAGGTGGGATCAGGTGCCATGAAGGAGTAAGTATTCCCTGCCGACCGGTCACACCCGCTGTGTGCTCCTTGTCATGATCGGGAAATAACGGAAAAATCCGTCGTCAATTCAGTGTATAAATAATGGACTAACAATAAGTATGAACAACGTCAGTCAGTATTTGACTCAATGATAAATTGTATGTGCTGACAAGGTCATTGTATCGACCATAGAACTTACGAAATGATGACTTTAAAGGAGACTGCTGAAATTAATGTTTCATCAACTTGTTTGTCAATAATTTACCTCGTTGTAGAAATTGTTCATACGTAGAGCAGACTCTTGCGTATCTAATCAGCTGAGATATGTAAACTCCGTATGCAGGTGATGAAGGTATATTTCTGCATAAGTAAGGGAAGTTGACGATAGAAAAGTTAAAGTCATCACATTTGTCATAGAGCTTGGACGTTAGATTACCATTAACGTCTTTTTCAAGTAAAATATATAAATATGATATGTGTCAGACTCTGTGATATCTTTTATCTCAAGCTCACCGGGATATATCGTATCGACATAAGAATGGAAGTTACCATTCTTAATTGACAGTACGTCGTCAATATATCTAAATGTCGAGTTGAAGGCCACAGCAAGTGTTTTCTTCTTTTCACGCATGAGATTTTGCACAAATTCTGCTTCATATGAATACAAAAATAGTTCTGCTAATAACGGGGCGCAATTGGTACCCATGATGCAACAGTATTCCTTTTAGATATTATGTTTAATATAAAACAAAGTTGCTATAAGATATACGAGGATGTATTTTCAAAACATGAACTTTGCTCCCCTCCTCCGAATCAGACTTTTGGAATTATGCATTTCACAGTGTTAGTATTTGGTACAAAATGGAATCATTGTTATAATAATGCCAACATCCTGTTTTATGTCATTAATGTTGTCGGTTTATGGCTCCACCCTCAATCTCCAGGGAGACAGTCGGCACTATTGATATTAACAATGTTGATCTTTTCCCATATATTTATAGCAATATACCAATTATTAATTGAAATGATTTAGCCATTTTAGCTTAGAAGCTGAAAATTTTCAAATATTCACTATTAAGGCACAGAAGCATTTAAAAGTAAATTCAAATAAATAAAGCATTCCAAAAATTAGACTAACTTTTTGATAGGTATATATCATTTTACACTTTTTATTACAGTGAGTCAGGATTGTTTTAAAAACCCAAAGTATGACAAACTATTTTTTTTTCCTTTTTTAAAAAGTTATACCGTGTGAAGAAAAGATTCTTGGAATCGTGCAAATTCAGCTTGATAATAAAAAAAATGTTTTTATAATTTTTCTTTGTTGAAAACTAGAAATATAACTCAAAGACGCACAATCGTGAGCATTACTTTTTATTTCGAAAAATACATGCAAATGTTTCAAAGTTCCTCGTACATTATAAATGTCTACCTACAAACAATCGAATCACTTTTTTATATTAACAAAGACTCTGGCAAGGATTGTCAAAGAAAACTATTAAGGAACATACTCAAACATCAATGCAATAAAACATTCTAGACGCGTTTTTCAATTGTTTATCACAGATTTAGCTATTGGGTACTACTAGAAAGATCATGTTAAATAGAAATATATCTTCTCCAACACATTTATCAGAAGTTGACACTTTTGAGAAGACGACGAAATTTAAGGGTGTCGTACACTCCAACTTGAAAACACACAATGTTATGACATGATAGAACATGGACTTTTGTGGGACGAACAGCTAACACACGAGTTGCAATTAAGACAAAATAGTTGAAAAATGCATGCATCAGGTTTTGAGTTATGTATCTTCAGAAACCTCTTTTTCTTTATATAAACATGCAAAACAGTTCACTAATATATGAAATATATTGTGCATATATATATTAAAACAAGTGTTTCAACATTCATGAAAATGAATATTGAATATAAATAATAAATGCATAGTTTATTTTTCTACACTTCAGCGAACTTGATAAATAATACGTTGTTTCTTCATGACTCAGAAACATTCAACACTTCATTTTACATCAGCAAAATTGTAAAAAGAAAAACAAAAACAATATTGTTGTTTCTGAGAAATACATGGGACAATATGTTTTAAACAAAAGTGTTTCATTTCTATTGTATAATACCATGAGATAATGATGAAACAAGTGAAAACCGTCAGTCCCGTCTGCTTTGATTTTTCACTGTAGAAAAGTCAGATACAACGTCCGCTCCATTCTCAGCACTCGAGTATTACAGACAGAAAGAGTCATTCACTCTTTTAACATCTTTAAATAATAAAATAAATTGATTAACTAATTAATTAATTAAATAACTCCTATTTGTCACGATTCCACCGTTTCTAAAACCGTCGTGTCGTCGTCTAGTGTGTTAATGTTCGTTGAGCGACTTCTCGCCATCATGGCCGTCTGATTACGTAGCTCAGTCTCCTCCTTCAAAAACTCGTTATAAAGTTTGGGCTCTACAAAGACGAGACCCGCTCGTGGCCTTACATCACCGTCAAACTTGGGCGTCCAATTGGCTGAAAACAGACAGAGAGACATAAAGGACTTGTATGTATATATATCGTTCGATAATATCTTAAAATTTACATAAACGAACTCCTACTTGAATTATTTTTACAACAATTAAAAATATAAATCATTGCATGATCGATTGAAATACATTAATTTTCTGTATCTGATCTGGGTATTTAAATGTATTTTTCTAATTTAAATACAGTAGTTAAATAAAAATTATTTAAGTGAAAACTATTCTAGGTTTTCTTAATCTATTGTAAAATAAAAACATGCTTTGTAAAACTACAGTAATTAATACATTTCAAAACTCTTGTGAAGATATTCGCTCCAAACATTGTATATCTGTATACATGTATTATAGGAATTAAGCGTCTAAAATACTATCATTTAAATTTTGGGTCTTATGAAACATGCAGGAATTATATTGTCTACCAGCATCATACAGTATGTACTAAAGGAAATGACGTCATTATATTGAAATCAGCAGGCGTACATGGACTGTCTACAGTTTAACTCACCAAACAGCCTGTAAAACCAGGACTGAAACAAGGCAATACAAATAATTAATGTATGTAGAAAGTAAAAGTCATTTAATAATATTATATTAATTTTATTTTGATTACGTCAAAGTGTTTGGTTAAACCGAAACAGTCCATAGTAGCCAAAACCGCGTAAATCACATTTATAAGCATTAAAGAACTTTAATAAAGCAAAAAAAACATTATAATATGTGAGAAAATTTTACTGTTTATCGATAATTGTTATATTTTGCATCTGTTTACTACAGAACTACGAATTCATCTCCATGCTTAAGCCCTTAGTCATTCGAAGGTGAGTTAATTTTTTATTTCTATTTTTGGATATTGTCATGCTCATTTCATTCCATTTCTTGCAAACTCACCTTGATAATAATCTAAAATATACAGAGTAGTAAGTGAACATCTATGGTCATGCAGAAGTGTTTTCATTCGGATGCTATAGTTACACGTAATGTACATTGTACCTTGAGAAACTTAATACCAAATTTCCTCTTCTATGAGGAAAAGCTCAAACTGAGGAATCTATCAGATGAAAACGTGTGTTCGATTACAAGAAGACAGGACAGTTAAAAATTATATTTTCCCCCTAAAAGTTAGAGTTGCGAGTACAAGGATTATCTACAAATTAAGTGACCCTTTCCTCTCATTTCTAAATATTAACTAAGTATCGCTACATTTTTAACAGTAAATTAAATAAATTTTCATCAAAAAATTTAAAAATCTAAATGTAACAGCTGAGAAAACAGACAATACACAATAAGCTAGACATTTGCCAAACTAAAGCAGACACTACACGTTGGAAAGCTTTATATATATATATATATATATATATATATATATATATATATATATATATATATATATATATATATATATATGAATTAATTTGGTTAAAACCATTCTAGTTACATTTACACCTCAATATATACCTGACAAGGAGCCAGATTTATGAAATAATAAGGATTTAACACTACACTGCGATGGATCTTTGGAAGCTTTGCCTGTGAATAAAATAGCAAAAGTGATTGCTAAATGCATACAGAGTGGCATGCTTCATGCAAGTGCTCTATGCTGAAATGAATTCTAAAATAAGGACACAACGTCTAATGGAAAAATAGAAAATGAAGTTTTTTTTGTGATAAATATACTCACTGCCATGTCTACTACATGGGACTTTGTACAAAAAAGTTACAATAAAAATAATAATGATATTGAAAAAAAAATCAAATTCACACAGGTTTTAGATTTAAATATATAACTCGTGATTTCTATGTCTTATATATGGTTCCTCTATTCTAAGCTATGAAGCCATATCATTAAGTCTACTGAGCTTCATATCTATCCCGGCACAATGGAAATAAAATAATCAATTGAAAAATAATAAATCATTTTTAAAGGAGTCTGCCGATGTTTAACGAAAAGGAATAAGAGTTATTTCCCTTAAAGCTTTAATCAGAATGTCTGTGCCGGAGGAACGCGTTGTTTCATGCTATTAGATAAAGCAATCTAAATCATGCATACCAAAAGCACCATCTTCCGCCTTTTTTACCCGTCTGAGTCCAAACTCTGTCATCTGAACACTGAGTTCTTGGTCTGTTGCATTGCTATACTGAGCGCGGGACCCGCTTATGGATGATAGCGTGTTGGACTTGGGCCTTGAGCCCGGAGAATTCCCCAGGCTATGGACTCGAGGCGTCGAGGATTTCATGGGACCAAGATTTCGTGATTTACCTAAGGTCAAGTGAAATCAGTCAAATTGTGCATAAGAACTTAATTTCCATTCATCTGCATATATATGTGTAAAGATATACTTCCACTGCAACAAATATTTGTTGCGATTTTTTCCTTATACGCAAAATGAATGGGTATCTCATTCTTTTTGAAAAAAAAAATGAACACACAGTGCAAGTGACTGCCACCTTGCAAAATTCAAAAGAAGTACAGCATGATAGAAAAATCCGTGTAAGCAAATGATAACGCGAAAATATATTTTTTCCCAAACAGACGATACTTACAAAATGAGCTATTTGCTACTGAACCTAAATTACATTTATCCAAGCATACATTTTAAATCAGTAATACAAAAAGAAAATTAATACAGAAAAATAATTTCCAAAGAGATACCATGCAAACTTTCCAGGTAAGATGAGGCAAAATTAAACAACATATATAACTAGTGCTAATTGTAACGGGGACCGTTACAGATGTTCCCCAAACGCTCCCCAACTCCCTTTTGGTGCCATATTCCCTGGAAGCTTCATTAAATAAGTCAAACTCGATGCATTTGAGACTTTAACAACGTTTACCCAGAAGTGTACAAAGTTCATTCAAATTTTAGCATTGCACGCGTGTGCATGTGAATGCATGTGCGTAATGACCATATAATCTTGTCTACACAATCTATATATTTTAATATACTAAATATTAAAGTATTTAATCCAAAAGTATTAAAAAGATGCGCTCATTCAAGTTTTTTTTTTATTCTGCTCATTTCACGTGCACGCACGTGCATACATGAGCATGGTGACCATTACTTCTTGTAGATGTCCGTTATATCTTTATGTTCTAAATCCCACCCCGTTTGGTTGAAAACCAAGGGAGTTATAGCTGTTTAAAGTTTCAGCCAATCAGATTGCAGCGCACCTACATGCACGTATATGCATGTGCATGGTGACCATATTTTCTTGTAGTAGACCAGTATATCTATCTATGTTCCAAATCCCATCCTATTTGGTTGAAAATCAAAGGAGTTATAGCTATTTAAATTTTAAGCCAATCAGATTGCAGCGCACGTGCATGCACGTGTTTTCATGATAATTGCTATATATCACGTTGTAGGATATTCTAATGCATGGCTATTTTCAAAATTTCAAAGGATTTCGTCAAAAAACAAGAAAGATATTGAGACTTTAGTTTCAGCCAATCAGAGCAAAGCGCACGTGCATGCGCGTGAGATCTTGCTATTTTGACCATGTCATATTGAAAATGCTACTAATATATTCTTATGTTATAAGTTTCAAAGCATTTCATCAAAAATTTAAAAAGTTCTGCCTATATCAATTAAATCGGTCATTTCACATGATGCACGTGCACGCTCTTGCAAGCACGTGCGCGCAAAATGACCTTCGTTCCGCAAATCTACATAACATGTCTACTGACCCTAAAAACATTTCACCTTAGTCGGATGTATAGTTTACTGCATTCCGGACAAAAAAGTACCCAGAAGAAGAAGAAGAAGAAAAATAATAATAATAATAAGAAACAGAGTAAAAACAATATGTTCCCCAACTTCGTTTGGGGAACATAAATATTCAGTAAAAGGAAGACATATAGACTTTATGGAAACACTCACTGTAGCCATTTTCTGATCCATTTCCGTACACTTTCATAAGTCGTTTTCGTAACTCCTCTTCCTTCTTCCTGTGCCACTCCGTGTGCTTGTCTTTTCGCGCCTTTTCCCGTTCCTCGAACAATCGATGTCGTTCTTCCATTCTACAGAAACATTTTGAATTATTAAATATTTAAATCTCCAAGATAACATCGGTTGTTTCTTACCCCACCTCTGTAATTATTTAGAGTCCGTGTTTTTATGCCTTCTTAACTTGTTTGTAGTCTTTATACATGTTGAATTTTTAGATCGAGCACTGTTCATTATCCTCACCTTTTACATTAATTTCTTTATAATACACAGGTAAAAGACGATATTATACTCACTCCTCCTCATCCTTTAACCTTCTGAAGCTGTGGGGCCTAGAGTGATGGAGAAGATCCGACCTCTCCTTTCGGTAGTACTTGTCTAAACCAGTGTTTGTCTCCTTAGCTTCTTTCAGTGTTTGATCCGCTTGTTCTTTCACATTATCAAAGAGGTCTTCTGTCTTCTTAGTGATATTAGAAATTCTGCCGTCCAAGTCCTGTTTTTCTTTGTTTTCCTGCTCCTGATTCAAATATCAAAAATGCTCTAAATACGACTTCTGTTATTCCTTGCAAAAAATGTCCCAATAACTAGTATCACTGATTTACATACCTCTCTGCGTTTCACACTCTGTGCGAGGTATTCCGAGCGACTCTCCACTCCTCGTCTTGTTTCTGCCGTCTCTCGCCTTACCCTATTTGTCTGCTCCTGCAATAGATTTAGCATAATAATAAAGAAAAATTACAATTTCCTGGACCCTTTGTTGTTCTTAGCAACTTTAATGATTCAAATAAGATTTACATTTTTATTTACCGTTACAACAATTTTTTTCAAAAAAGTCGGAGGAAATTTGTCTTTTCAGCATCGATTATCATTTTTCACGAATAAATATACATATATTACAAATAACTGATATCACACGTTATTCATTCAATGAATTTTTGACCATCAATCGATTTACAGAACATTTTTCAAAATCTTACGACGAACATATATTATCTGTCTCAAATGTATATATAATAATAAATAACAAGTTTATAAACTTCAATGGGAATTTATCAGTGATCAAATCTTCGAGAAGCCTTCGGCCTTCACAGGATTTGATTTGACCGACCCACTTCAATTCCCATTGAAGTTTATAAACTTGTTATTTATTTCTTAATAACTGATATCACGTTATTCATTCAATGAATTATTTGACCTCATCGAAGAACATATTTTCCACTTACTCTGACAGCTTGATCCTCATCATAATAATGTGAAACAAACCTCAGCTGGTCTGAAAAGGTTCAATTAAAAAAAAATGAATGAAAAAAAAACTTTAAAAAAAAACCGCTTAGTCTGCAAATTATTGTCATATTTTGATTTCTTTTCATTTTAGCATAATTAGAATACTGAAAGTGAAACCTTTAAAAAAATTCAAATCTTGAGTAGGTATTGAAGTCCATAAAATGACATTTCAATAGATTTTGGCGTTAGAGAGGAAAAGATTGTTACCAAATAGGGTGGGTAAAACAGATATTCTGTTGCAAAAAATGCAGTACAACAGTTATTATCTTGTATGCTCGTCGATTTGGGTGTGAATTAAACTGTAACAAATTATGTGATTTAAAAGTGTTTCATAATATAGCAAGGATATTCGAAAAGAACAGAGTTAGTATGCAGTGCAGAAAACCAATGTTACCTGGGTCAGTTGAGTTTAAGTCTGAATCTACCATATAAAAGCTTACAATGAATTCAATATTAATTGATATAATTTTGATGAAAATTAACAAATATTAGATTTTAAATTGATATATTTCTAATGGTCCAATTTAGGCATACATTTGTACACCCTGACATGAATAGTGAAAGGATAAAGAGACATGTGTCTTGCGTTATTTACAGAGAGAGTATAACCTCACCTCTCAGGTAACTGTCCCAGTTATCCATCACACTCATTTCCAGGTCGTTCTCACTACCTCCTGGGGTGCTGTGTTTATATACATCCATCATTTTACTGAATAACACAATGTCATGCATAGGTCCTGTGTATATCTGAGCGCGTTTTAGCTGATGCATTTGGCGAACAAATCGTCTCTGGTCCTGATATCTGCGCACACTTTCTTGAATGGAAGCCACTCGTCTTGGCACATTTTTCCTGCGTCCTGAATTGTCCAATCGGTCCATGTCTGCTAGAGTCAAATTAGACTTTGCTTTGGGTTTAACCGGTCCAAGTTTGTAATTCACTTTCTGTGTCTTTTTTAATTGCTGTAAAAGATACTGTTCTTTTCTTCTGTTATTTGCAAGCTGTGCTCTTTCTATCCTCTTGAGTCGATTTTGAAAATTAATGTCAGTTAACACATCATCGTCATCCTCTTCAGAAGATTCTGCATATTCATCGTTCTGTTGAGAATGACCGTTAGTCAGTACAGGAGTTTTAGAACGAGAATTATCACGGCTTTTTAATCCAGGTTGAATAACTCCACTGTCCGGAATTTTCGAAGCCTTCCGTCTGCTTCTTGACTGCCTCTCTGGTGATTCTTGATACCGCGAAGTCTCTGGAAGCGTTCCTTCTCTTGATTGCTTGCGACTTTCTGCCAATCTTAACGCTTCTTCCTGATTTTCGTGTGAATTTTCTGGAAATTCAAATTCGCCTTCGTCGTCTTCCCTGTCTTTCTGGGTTGATCTTGACTTCGGAGTTTGAATGAAGGTATCCTTCTGATATGACGAATGTTCTTGATAACCAACTGGTGAAACAGAAGGGCTTATCACCAAATTACGTTTTGTTTGTGATTGGTTTTCTTCTGTCTGGGAATTCTGTTCCTCTGATTGGGACTGATGTCCAGAATCCCTACTTGGTTGAAGTTCAATTTCCTGAAATTCGTTTTTTTCTCGGGTATTTGGACGTCCACTATCTCTAGAAGGAACTTTATTTTCTTTATTATCTTCGTTTGGTCTCTTTTTTACTTTAGGAGTACTTGTTGTAGCAGGTCCAGATTGTTTCGATTTCTTATTATCCTTCTCCTTTACTAATCCACTAACAGTTGATTTTTCTTTAGCTCCTAGAAGATGGTTATCTAAATCTACTTCCTCAGCTACCGATCCAGGTGAGAGGACTCCACTGTCTACTCGTTCATTCTCAGTATCGTCAGCGTCAAGTGTGTCTTCTTCAGTTTCTTCTTTAGGCTTGTCTATACTCTTCTTTTGCTTATTAGCCTCCTTTTCACTGTCCTGTATACTAGTAGATGTCTTCTCCTTTTCAACTTTAGATTTATTAGTAGATTTCTTTGACTTATCACCCTTACTTACAGTTGATTTTTCCTTCTGTAATCCTTTCTTTCCTTGAGATCCTTTCTTTTCCTGTTTTCCTTCTTTGACCTGTGTATCACCTTCTGTGATTTCTGTCTTCTTTTGATTACTTTCCTGTTTTCCCACCAATAGAATATTTTTACCACTTTCTGCTTCTTCTGCTGTCTTCTCTTCACTATTTTGTTTTCCTTCTATGGCCTGATTATCACTTTCAGATATTTCTTGTGTCTGTGCTTTAATTTCTTTTTCCTCTTCTTCAAATTTCGTATCACCTTCAAGCTCTTCAGTTGTTTTCTTGACCTTATCACTGCCTGGCCTTTCAGTTGTATTTTGTTTACCTTTCTGCTTTTTATCCTCGATTTCTTTATCACTTGAGAGTTTTTCTGTTGCCTTCTGTTGCCCTTCCTTTTCCTTTAGATCATTTGACGTCTTTTCCTTCTCCTTCTTTACTTTTTCGATGGATTTTTTATTCTTATCACCTTTGCTTACAGTTGATTTTTCTTTTTCTAAACCTTTAGAATCTTTTCCTTTATCTTTTGCAGTATCTGACTTTTTGTTGTCCTTCTTAGGAGTCTTTGGGGGTACAACTACAACTTTAGATTGATCTTCCTCTTCGTTTTTATCCTTTGATTTCTTTGGAGATTTTGGAGTTTCTGTTTTCTCTTTTGGTGTTCCTGGTGAATCTTTTTCAACTTGAACCTCTTCGTTAGTTTTCCTTGCTTTTTCTTTGTCAGTGTTGTCTGATTCCTTTTTGTCTGTTTTAGGAGTTGAAGGAGCACTCTTTTCTTTTTGGTCTTTTGTTAATGCCTTCTCTGAATCTTTCTTTGGCGTTTTCGGAGTTGATGGTGCACTCTTCTGATCTTTAGATTTATCTTCTTTTTCAGTTGTGTCCTTTTTATTCTTAACTTTACTTGGTGAATCTTTTTCTCCTTTTTTACCCTTCTGATCTTCTTTATCTTTTTGTCCCTTTTGAGACTTTTCTTTTTCCTTTTTACTCGAGTCTTTTACTTCCTCGGCTGCTTTGGAAGCTACAGCAGCTTGCTTAAGCTTTTCTGCCTCTTTATTTGCTTCTTCAGCTTCCTCTCTTAATTTTTCTGCTTCTTTTTGGGATTTTTCAGCCTCTTGTCTCGCTTTCTCTGCCTCAATTCCACTTTCTTTTGTTGTTTCGTCTTCTTCTTCCTCTTCCTCTTCGTCCTCTTCCTGAATGGTGCCTGGACCTTTAACTTTCTTGTTCTTAGCAAGTATGGCACCAGCTACCACAACCTTTTCATCTGTTTTGGTTTTTTCTTTACCCTTTCCCTTAGCACTTTGCTCTTTGCCGTCTTTCTTCTGTTTCGCTGATTTTTTCTTTTGTTGATCTTGTTTTTGTTTTTCTTGTTTAGCCTTTTCTGCTGCAGCTTTAGCTAATTCTGCTTCCTGGTGAGCCTTTACAGCATCCTTCTTGGCTTCCTCTGCTTCTTTCCTTGCTTTCTCAGCTTCTTCGTCTTTCTCAAAATCCTTTTTCTTTTTAACAACTTTTTTGCCCTTCACTACAACAACTTCCTCGTTACTTTCCAGCTGATCCTCTTTTTCTTTTTTTGAGTCTTTCTCTTTGCCCTTTTCTTTTTTATCTTTTCCTTCTTGTTTACTATCCTTTTCTCCTATAGCAGCCTCTTCTTTTTCTTTGCTATCCTTTTCTTCTTTACTTTCTTTTCCTTTTACTTTGCTATCCTTTTCGTCTTTACTTTCTTTTCCTTTTACTTTGCTATCCTTTTCTTTGCTATTTTCTTCTACTTTGCTATCTTTTCCCTTTACTTTTTTACTATCTTTATCCTTGCTATCTTTTACTTCGCTGTCCTTTTCTTCTTCACTGCCTTTTCCCTCTTTACCGTCCTTTTTCCCTTGTTTATCCTCGTCTTTTTTGTTCTTCTCTTTCTCGTCCGCAGCTGCTGCAGCTACAACTGCTGCAGCAACAAGTTCGCTATTTTTATCAGACTTCTCCTCTTTGGAGTCCTTGCTTTCTTGTTCTTTTGTCTTGGCTTCTTCCTTCTGCTTCTTCTCTTCTTCTTTCTGCTTCTTCTCTTCTTCCTTCTTTTTCTTTTCTTCCTCTTTTTCTTTTTTCTCCTCTTCCTTTTTCCTTTTCTCCTCCTCCTTTTTAGCCTTTTGTTCCTCTTCTTTCTTTTTCTTCTCCTCTTCCTTTTTGGCCTTTTCTGCCTCTTTCTTTTCTTTTTCTAGTTCCTTCTTTGATTTTGGTTTTTCTTCCTTTTTCTCGGAATTCTCTGCCTCTTCCTGTTTTTCGGATTTCTTATCCTGATCCGCACCCTCTTCCTCTTCTTTGTGACTTTCCAAATTACTTTTTCTCGATTTTGCAGATTTTGAGTCCCTCTTGTCCTTTTTGTTCAGAATATTGTCAATATCACCTCCAGTTTTGCCTCCTTTTGCTTTGATGTATTCTGCAGTTTCTGAATTCCCTTTCAAAATTGCAGCATCATATGGAGTATAGGATTTGTCCTGAAAAATAAGACCTTGAATTATTTAAACATTATACTATACCATACTTCAAGTTCAGGACCTAACAGTAAACAGACTTTTTTTTACAATGAACAAAACACCTTGACAGAGACATGTTACGACAATAGTTGTATATATCTAAATTACACTCACTTAATAATACAAGCAAAGTCCTGGTTTCAAGTCTTACAACTAGATGTCATTTCACAAAACAGGCAGACGACCGTAGGGGCATATTGAAGTAAAATTAAACCGCTTAGAATGTTAAAGATCACTGTTGGAGCAATAATCCAGACTTAAAAAGCATCTGGTCTTTGATACATTCCACCTTAACGGGTCTATTGTTTGATTAAATTCTAGACTAAGCCCTCAAGAAAATAATAGACAAGATCATTTGTTGTCAATCTCCCTCGCTCTGTTTTGTTTCTGCTGGGGATCTTTGTAACTACGTACAACTGTGTTATTAAGATATTTACTGATCTTTACCTCACCAAAGGTTATCAGATAGTTTTGACACACTACCAATGAATTCTTCTAAAACTTTAAATGCACAAAAGCGCAGTATCGATCCTTCGCGGCAAAAACTTTTTTAAAGAAGGTTTTCTTTTGGTGTTCCAAAATTGCTTTAATGAGCATTTCTTCAATTTTTTTTCGCAATATAGACCTATGTTTAATAACATTCTTTCTATTTTTTTGGGAAAGACTCTCCCCTTCAACACGTGTGTGATTGTCTTGCAATAATTTGTGCTTTTGTGTGAAGTAAGTGACAATCATGAAATCATATTTTATTTACAAAGAAATGTGAATATGTGATTAATAAACATAATGAAGAATACATTCTTTAAATTTTTTTGTTAAATAGTTACCCTTATTGTGCCTAAGATTACTTACAAGAACACAGATTTGACAGAAATAAATAAGTTATCTAAACATACCAAAATCACGTATTAATGTTGTTATTTCTCCATTCCAAACACAATAAAATCATGTAATATTATTTTTACCTTGTGGTCCGTTAAAGCAATACCAGTGTATCCTTCATCAAGTTCATATTAAACTATCTAGTTTCATAAAACTTGAAATAGGTATGTTCTTTATAACCGTATTTCTCTCAGATCACAATGCATTAAACTTCCAATATACACTTGGTTTTGACAGATTTAATGAGTAGATTATCTTGAGCAAATAGATCTTGCTTTTTCTTTAGAAAAGATCTACATTGCTGATTCCCGTCGATAAATAGAGATCTAGCTCTGTGTAACCAAATTGTCGTATAATTTGCACTAAGTTTTAAAGAGCTTTTATTATGCACACACAAGAAAATTACCGCAATATAACATGGTATCTGAATAGAAAACCCTCCCTCCTTCTGTGTTAGTTAAAATGTCATTTCCAAACTGTAAAATAATGTGTTAAAGAACAAACCTGCCAATTATTTTTAGAAATGTGAAGTTATTTTTCATGTTTTAAATTTGTCATTTACCTTGGCTGTGTCCTTCTTATTCTAAGAATCAGACAAAAATTTGATAAAATGTCTTCCCAAAATAATTACACTTTTTTTTCTCTATTTTGCTTTGTACAGCAAAACATTATAGGAAAAATGGTTATTTTTAACAACTTTCATATATTACAAACCCAGTAACATTATCGTTGCTTTAAACATATTTTTATTGAGTATAATTCAATCAGGATTGGGCAACAGGCAATATATATAACAAACCTTGAACAGATAATCAATAAAATTATAATGAAAAATAAAGATTCACAATCAAGTATTATTTATCAATATTATATCTCAAAAAAATGACATTATCGTTCAAAGGTTAATAAAAAGGGGAAGATGCTTATAGTTGAGCTAGTTTCCATAACAATTTCAAGAGGGATTACTAACACGTGTGGTTTTGTTCTTCTTGATATGATATATTTCAATGATTTTTTTTTTCATTTTTACAACAGATATATTTTCCAGGTATATTGCCAATGGCCAAGGTAGCCAAAATCAGTTGTAGCAAAAATCAGTTAAGTTTTCATATAATTAACCAGCAAATACAAAATAGTTATTGGTTTTACATAAGTGTTCATGCTAGCTCTGCTTTTGATTTTGAAAATGAAGCTTTGCAAAAAGAAATTTCACAAACTGTAACTAATTCCTATTAAGACAAATTAATAAACACCATACTTTTTTTACAGAAATATCTTTTAATTCCATAAAGAAAATGTTTTATCAATATTCAATGTAAAACTTGTTCTGCAATTTTATCCATAAAGATATTTCCAACAGACTGAAATAAGGAAGAATAAACAAGTACCCCTACCTTGTGCATCATTAAGGAGTTTCTGTCTGCACCATTGTCCAGCAGCAGTTTACAGAGGGGAAGGTTGTTGACTATGGCAGCTATGTGGAGACAGGTGCGGCCGGCAGTGTTGGGGGTGTTCACAGCATCGGGGGTGTTCTTCCACTTCAACAGGTACTTCACAACATCTGAGAGGAGAAAAGGTTTATAATGTGATGAGCTTTAGTTTATCCATAACATAGAAACGCTTATTGTTATTATTATTGTAGAAAATTTGGACGAAATTTATCACATCTCTAAAGAGACTTAACAAATATACATTGGATTATATATTAACATGCCAAATAATTGTTTTTCCCCAAATGCACCCCTTATAACCTCTTGATAAAGTATGTTTTATGTTAATTATATTCTCTAGCTTTTATTTATTCTTTACCGAGAAAATGATGTAAAATGCATGTGTATGTAGTATATATTTATATCTTACCACAGTGGCCTCCCTGGGCCGCCTCGTGGACAGGAAAGTCCCCTCTACTGCTACTACCCCAGAGGTCAGCCTTACTTTTGTCTAAGATTTTTAGTGTCTCGACACACCCCTTCACTGAGGCACAATGACTAGGCCTGAAATTCATAAAATATTGAGGGTAAGAATATTCCCATCAGGTGAATAAAGTATGGAAAACAACATCAGCATAATTATACATATATATAGTATATATGGTGTATTCAGGTTCACCAATTGCTCGAGACTGTTCATTTTCCAACAGAGTGACTGGAGAATTTTTTTTGCAGTATAGTAAAAAATTTCCTTTATTTCTTTAAATAAGATATGACATTTATCAATATCAGAGTTATTTTATAATTTTTCTTTATATTGACTCTCAGTTTCAAGATCTATGATATTTATTCGACAATGCAAAAATTAAAGATCGAGAAATATCAAAACAGCTGAAAAACAAGAAAGGCGGTGTTGGTGGTTTAATGAATGCATCATTTAATCATCATACATTAAAACAGATATTGTTGTTGTTTTTTTTTTTGTTCAAAACAATGAACTGGCCATCCTCGAAATACAATATTCACTTTGCCCTACGTGCCAGGTAAATATTGTACTACGCAAGTTGAGTATTCGTAATATTGACCTCAAAAATCGCAATTACTGTATAATTTTATAAACCTTTCGATTCAAACAGATATCAAAGTCTGTTTAAAATGTTCAAAAATTTTAAGAGCATTTTCATATAGACAAACAGGGAGGGCAAGCATTACATCATTCAACCCCATTTAATATTTGTTTTTCTTATTTGATAACATTGTTCTTACGTTCTCCCGCGGACATCTTTGTGATTGGGGTCAGCACCGTGTTTTAGTAAGGCCTTGGTGCACTCTTTGTTACCAAGGGTGACAGCGTAAAATAGTGGTGTACAGTTGTTTTTGTCTGCGAGGTTTACGTCAGCTCCGAGTTTCTTAAGTTCCTCTATACAATGAGAGTGACCCCTTGAAGCACCACAATGTAATGCTGAAAAAAGAGAGATAACTCATTCTTATGGTCTTATTATAAAGCAAAGTAGACAGCAGATTGGTTCTACTGCTGTTAAATAAGCAGAATTTTTGTTTAAATTTATCATTTTAGGGTTGTAAACAAAACTTATAGTACCTGACAGTCCATCTTTGTCAATAGCATTGACATCAGCACCAGCTTTGACTAATAATTTGATGGATTCGGTGTTTCCTGATTTAAAAAAAAAAAGGAATTAACATTTAAAGAAATGTTTTGTGATATTTATCAACAATGGAGAGGTCTTTTTCATACCTAATGAATCTTAAATACGTTATGTTCCTATACACACATAATCTTCATAAATGTATTTTTATTTGAAGGATCTTTTTCAGGTGATGTCATTTTAAAACTGTGCAAATATCACCCACAAGGAAAATCAATATGGACATAAAACTCTACTGAGATATCCTGTTAAAATAGCTATTTGTATTATTTTAATTTGCATATCAATGATAGACTCATTGTTAATCTTGGATGGGTATTGATGAAGCTGAAACGCGCTCCAAAATCAAAAGCAGTTGAGAGTTAGTACTCTATATTTACACGTAACATGATTTAGCGACTTTGGGGTCAACATCCTACCTCGAACATGCTGACAAAAGCCGGAAATTGCTCTTTTAGCAATGAACCCGGCTAAAAAAAGAGTTCTTATAAATAACCACCTGCACTTGCAGCCCATAGAAGTGGTTGTCGTCCATCTTTGTCGGTGACGTCATGAGGAACTCCGCTGTCCAGTAACTTTTTGAGGACCTTCTCCCCGACCTTGGCGTCGGCATGGTTGCTGTCCTTCCCGTTCATCTGCGCAGCGTAGTGTATTGGGTAGGCATTGTGACTGTCTGCTGACGACAGCTCTGCTCCATTGTCAACCAGAATGTCAAGGATCTCAAGGTGACCGCAAACTGAAAGGTCAAGGTTACTTGTTAATATTCACATATCCCAAAAATCTGATGGAACACTAAATCAGAATTTCCACATTTTTGTTGCATAATATAGATCTACATTAACTTGACTTACAGAAATCTTAAATACAAATGTTTGGGTATAGATTGATAATTATATAAGAAAAATGATTTTAAAGAAAATGTAGTTATCTGTACTTATGCGATTTGACCACATAAAATTCAATGCATGTACTGTTGATATCATATTAATTTATAAAGGATCTCCTACTTTATGTTATTTTGAGAATTTTTCAACAACTTCATTAAAGAATACAATATTGTTAGAATTCTATTTCATCATATTTTGATATAAACAAAATTCAAATAAAAAAAATCACTTCTTTCACAAACCAATTGAATATATTTTCCATAATCTTTATAAAAAAAACAAAACAAAAAACAAAACTAAGAAAATTGATATGAAGCAAAAAAATAAATAAATAAATAAAATACAACAAACATAGAAAAATATATCTATAAAAATCCAGTACTTTTAATAATAAGCTAATTGTGACTTCTTTAAATTCGCTATAGTTAGAAAAAATATTGTGAAATTATGACATAAAATCGAATGTGCAGAGTAAAATCTTTTTGAATATAGAATTGATAAAAATAAATGTTAAAAAAAAATACTCAGTGGCATATATAAAAACAAAAACTAAAGAAAAACTAAATATTGCACATATACAAACTATAACTTTACTTCAGTGGTACTCACATGAACCTTATGAAATGAAACGAGAAATGAACAGTGTTATTTGATTAAATTTTCATTAGATATATTTAAGAAAAAAATACAGGAAGGAGAACTAATGCATTAATGAGAGATGAGAAATCGTCAATGTATGAAATAGGGTTAGACACAAATTATTTTAAGCAAAAACCCTTTTAAATGTTAGTATGTAAGATTGTTTTTATAAAAGAGGAAAGCACACCTTTTATTCTGATTTGTCCAACCAATAACCACTGAACATTCGTACATTGCTCGTGTGGTCAATACGCTCTCTTTACGATGTCCCCTCCCTCTATTAAATTATTTAATTTTTAAAATTATTTTTTCCTCTCTGATATCTACCCACTCCATTTATCTATCTCTTTGTTTTTTAACAAACTTAAATTAAGATATGACTTAGATTAAAATCATATTGGGTATGGGTAACAAATATAGAATTTTCATCTGGGTCATCAGTATAATGTGATAATTTAACAGAAATATGCCAAAGATAAAAAACTTAAAAAATAAGAGTTGTTTTTAAAAAGGAAGATGCACTGAGACACGCCCCCGTCCACATTCAATTGTCATGGACATACTTAGAAAAGCATTTTCCAAAAAGTATTAGATAATTCAAAATATGAGTTGTTCATCTGTAGTAAACCAGTGATTACTTTTGAAAGAACATCTGACCTTTTGAACTTATTCAAACCTGTAAAGTGACTGCGTAATCAAATATGTGTACAAATAATAAATCATAAATGTTTTTAATCTTAATATTTTAATCCACCATCGGTCTATTAATAAGCTGGTCTACATGTACATAATCTGTTTTGGATTAAACTGTTGGGTAATCATTCTATAATCTTGTATAAACATACAAACAACAACAGACAAGAGGATAATTAATTCTCTCAAACTTTTGTGTCATAACAACTGTAAAAAATAGAATTCTCTGCAATTAAGACAACACAAGAGTTTTGTATGATCAAACCTGTCTTAAAAGCCACACTGAAAATCTATTGATAATAGGGCTGTGTACCTGATATTCCAAAAACTATTGCTACATTTTTCAAGTTAATTAAGCTCGTGTATGACATTAATGGCTTCTAACTTTATTTTTTTTTATTTTAGAAAGGAATCGTATGGTAGATTTTAACGTTTCTTTCTTTCTTTTTTAATATATATCCTCAAAAATAGCCTTTGAACTCTCTGAAATCAAGATAAAAGCTTAGTTTTTTTAGTTTTCTGTCGGATTTTTCTACGAGGGTCCCTAATGTTAGTAAGTCAACTGCTTTTTTGGAGGTTTACTTATCTAATATATCAAATCTACACCTTCTGTTTCACAGTACATCGATGTACTGTTACATTTCTCATTGAAAATATCAAAACTTGCATAAAATACTGAATCAAAATAGAACCGTAACACTTCAAGTGGTACATTACAATTTAATGAAAGAAAACCCTTTTTTCCTAACTTGATATGCTTTTAGTAGAAAAGCAAAAAACAATAAAATATTAAACAAGTCCACAAAGCATTACAATTTAAATCTATGTTTTGCATTCATTATGATCAATTCCTTATTCCAGACTTCATAGTCCGTAAGAAATTGTTTTCAAGCTGAATACTTACGAATAGAAGTAATATGTACATTATGTATTTTTTTTATTATTTGGCATTCCACAAGATTTTATGGCTCAAAAATAACTTTTAAGAGTCCTTAACTGACCCATAATTTTATTCAAACAAAATGTCACAGCATTCACTTGAGGAGTCATTCACACCGCGCGCTCACCACCGCTAACCCCATGAATCTCTCTCAACTTTGAAGTTCCCACCTTCACCTCCCAGCATTTCCTATCCCTTAATATGATCATAATATGTCTTGTAAAATTTATATTATATTCAGTTTTTATCTCTTGTTTTACTGCTTCTATGTATTTGGTTTAAAGTTACATCTTTTTGTAAGCTTTTTCAAACCAGGCCCAAATATATCTAACTACATCTTAAAACTTAAACTTTTTCTTGTGATGTTGAAATATTTTGTTTTGATGTGCCATGACATTAATGCTAACTTTTTAATAAAGTTTTGTTATATTCAATGAACATGTAGTCAGTTTTGGGGGATACAATGAAATAAAGAACTGAAGGCAAAGATTGAGAATACTTGTTTTTAAATTGTTCACAAACTCATTTTAATAGCTTTTTCAACATGAAAGTGTTTTATTTGACTTTTACAAAATTAGCAAAAAATGTACTGTGATCTTGCCTATAAGTGTTATATACATAAATGTATTTTTTGATTGATTCATACTTTTGGCATTGCACAATATTTTATGGCTCAAAAATAACTTTTAAGAGTCCTTAACTGACCCATAATTTTATTCAAACAAAATGTCACAAAGTTCACTTAGGTACTCTAGTCCCCCTCTCTAATCTCCCGGAGTAATATGATCTCTGTTCAACTTAAAAGGCATTCACCTCCCTTCTTATTTCTCTAGCACCAACTATATAGTGTCTCAATTTGATTGCTTCTTCAATCCCCCTTCTTTTTTTCATCACCTTTGTAGCAATCAATTTTATCTTAATAAGTCTAAATGGAATAAAAGTTATTTGTAAGATTGGTGCAAACCAGCCCAAATACATCTAACTACACGTAAAACTTAAAGGTGGTTACAACTGGTACGAGAAATATACATGTTTCAGAGTCCTATAACATTAATGAAGTCTTTCCAAAAAGGTGTTATATTCAATGAAACATGTAGCAACTTTGATACAATGAAATAAAGAAGCAAGGCAACTAGCATGAGAATACTTTTTAAAAACTGTGTCTAAAACTAATATTAAAGCTTTTTCATATTAAAGTCACAAATTTTGTTAATCACAAAATATACTGTGTTTTTTTTTTCAGTGTTATATACCTTGATCTCAGGCTCATTAAGCTTTGAGCTATTCAATATGACGTTGGTGCTCAAATAACCATTAAAAGGAATAGAATTATTGAAAGCTTGCTACATGAAAAGTTTACTATACTCTAGCCTAATGTCCCGGAGTAGTATAGTAGGCTGATCTACTAAAAGGCTGCTCTCTTACCATCAGCACCAACTATATAGTGTCTGGCTGGGAAAATTAAGACGCCCTTATTATAGAGTGCACATGTAAATCAACTGTTTACTTAATAGTCTAAATGGACCTAAAAAAAACTTGCTATTTTAAGACAAAAATACATCATATTTTAGAAAAGCCCAAGGGACTCAACGGTCATTTAAATTCAATATAATATTGTAAAGGATACAGTGAAGTACATGTAAAACATAGAACAACATATACTGAAATATAAAGCAATGTTACCCAAAGCAAAAGAAATAGTGTGATCAGGGAATAAACAAAATAAAAAGTCTAGTTTTCAGTAAAAAAAAAATGCGCGCGTTTCTCATTATCATCGTGCAAACAAACGAACAGTGCTTCAGCAGTATTAGTAGCATATTTCATTGGCCTCTCTAGGACTTTGTCAGACAAACAATGTGAAAACAAAAAGTATTTCTGTCTCAATTTTATTTATTATCTATAAGATACAAAACAATTTGACCATTTAAAATTATATTGATGAAAGTACCTTTACTTTATGTTATAAAATAATTATATGATTCCTCGATTGGCCTTTCAGTTACAATATTTACTCTGAATAATTATTAAAATAGAATAGCCAAGGGGATAACTTCTCTTAGTAGAAAACAAATTAGTAGAGCCCATTCCAGCACCATAACACTTGACCAAATGGAACAGAATTTCAGATTCTGGTAAAATACCCTAGCTCATTACAACTTTTTTTACTGTGTTTTCCACCTAGGTATTTCGGAGGAAGAAGAGATTTAAAAGAAAAACCAAATATTTCAATTGTTAATGGGAATCTTGTTGAATCTTTAGTGAAAGTACATTATTTCCCTGAAAATCTTCTCTACTTCAAGTCATCTAGAAAGCAAACACTGTCAGCAAAGTTGTAATTAGCAAAGTTGTAATTAGCAAAGGTTTCCTTACCAGAATTTTGGAAGTTTGGACCGCTTGTTTTAGTGTTTGGGTCTTGGGCAGGAATTTCTGATATACTGAGAGAAGCAATTTCCCGTTGCTTTTCAGAATAATAATTAATCACCGAAAATCAAAAGGTCAATCGAGAAAGGGAATTTAAAAACAATTTTTATAAATATTTTAAAAGTACTCTAATGATTTTTAATGGTCATGTAGGCTTGAAAATGATAGAAAATTAAAAATTAGAAAAAATAAACCATATGTTTGTACATCTTTTCAAAGATCAAAAGAGGTCAATGTGCCAACGGTTTACTAATAGTGTTAAGGCATTTTTGTTTTGTTTAGTCTGCATGGTGATAGTGACAAACGGGGACAGGTACAGGAAGTGAAAAGATCTACTCTAAGCTTTGTTAGTTTTAGACTAATTGTTTTGTTGATCCCTGATCATCTATTTCATTTCTCTTGCTATCATTAATTTTGTTTTATGCTTCCTTGGATCCTTCAAAGCATTTTTTTAAACTTAGGTGTCCATAATTTAAAGTCCTTGAATTCTTGCTTTTAATACCATATTGTTTTTAATCCACGTAAGTATTTATATATTTTAAAAGTTTTACATGTAAATGTAATACAACTCAAACTTTGTTAAAAAAATAAAGAACTGAAATCACCTGAACAGTATTGAATACTTTCACTTTTACCTTGTTATAAATGCTAGTATCTAAAGGATTTACATAATTTTATGTTTAGTAACTTTTAAATTTTTTAACGAAAGATGAAGAAATCTTTTTCTCTGAATGATGCCGTCAGTCTTGTAAACCTTAACATTTACATAGTAGAGTCAAATATAACCTGTGAACACCTTAAAATTATCTTCTATGAATCATGTGCTAAAAAGCATAAAGTTATTTTGTGTCAAAAAAGTTTCTCCAGTACAGTTCAAATGGGGTTGCATGACTGCATGTCTGCATAACATTGCTGACGTAACCTCTCATTCATAACTGATTGATTTTAGTTTCAAGTTTTGATTGAACTGAGTAACATTTATATTTCGTGTATACATATTACATCATTGGCAATGTTGACAAGAATTAATAATTGTTTTCTGCTCAGAGTTGGTCAAAAATGCAGACAAACTACAGAAAGGATACATACTGCCTTGAATAACTTCCATTAACCCTTTACTCAATATTTCTATAACCCCATCATGCATTTCATTTTCAACAAAACTTCACTTAAACTCAGGCCTTCATATTCTCATATAAAATCTTCAGATTTTTACCCAGGTGTAAAATAAAACTGGATAACTTATGCATGTCTTGTTTCCAGGTGGTTTTAGGGATACATTGTAAGAGAGATTATTTATGTTAGATTACATAAACTTCACACATTAATTACATTAATTTGAAGATGACTCTGGATGAAAGCTTTAATTTTAATAACATCCACAATAAACCAGACATTAAAAGAATAAGGGGGATCACAATGGCCTCCTACCTGTTGCCCAGTGTGTTGGGGTATGCAGTTCATTATCCAGACTCCGAATATCTGCACCTTTTTTGAGTAGAAGTTTGAGTAAAGGGGCATTCCCGCTGATAACAGACATGTGAAGAGGGGTAAACCCTTGACTATCCTTGACCTCTAATAAACTAGCATCCTTAGCTAGTAACATTTCAGCACATTGTGTCTCCAAATTGTCTGCACAGTAATGGAGGGCAGTTCTACCACTGTCATCTTTGGTATTTATCGAGGCCTGTAAAAATATATAATGAAAGCTGAGTGAAAGCTAAGAAGAAGAAGGATTACCTTTCATTTCTGAGATCATTGTATAACCATCGAGGTCCTTTCTTTCAAAAATATTGCACAACCACCTCTTTCCATGAAATAAAATTGCCCTGAGTTTAGTAAGAATATGAAGTATTAGATAAACATCCTACCCCTTGATCGATGAGTTCCTTGAGCTGCTGTGAATTGCCACTCTGACAGGCCGCTATGACGGGGGTGACACCTTCGTCAGTCTCCTGCTCCATGATATGGTCGGGAAATGTCCCGTAATGTCTGATGACCCTCTGGAAGTAACGAGGATCTTTGATGGCACAAATGCGATGGAGAGCAGTCTTCCCCCGGTAATCTCCCTGGTCTAAACTTGGACTATATCTGAGGGGCAAAACCAGTGACGAATTAGATATGTCAACAGAAAAAAGTCAAGTTGAAAGATGCTGGAAAGCTGCATGTTGGGTGTTAGTGTGTGTGTGTGTATTTGTGTACGTACCTGAAGAGCCATGCATTGAAAAGATGCAAAATCAACATTCTTAGAACTTGGACATTATAATAATATATTGGAAAAACGTGGTTGCACCAAGTTTCATTTTTATTGAGTAAAGCACTTTCTGAAATGCAATATCATTCAGATTTCTTTAGTAAGCTATAGGTGCTTTTCACATTAAAGTACCCATTACCAAGGCTTCAATTGGAAATCTTAATTAGGGGTGTTCAACAAAGAACATTTAAAGTATTGATTCTGAATAATTGTAAAAATAATTCATCAATCATTCAAAATAGTTCATCCGTCATATTTTTTCACAATATACCTGAATACCAGAAAGTAAGCTCTCTGTATAAAATTGAAAAAATCTTTAATATCTGGTAAGGGCCAGCATTGTAATTTATGAACATGTGCATATCAACGTGCAGCAATGGAAGACAAATATTTCAAGTTCCTTCCTGCTCTATGTATACAAAGGGAACTTGTTTAAATAAATGGACAAGGGGACAATGAGAGATTAACCACACTTAAAATGATCACGCAGGGGATTTCAGATTTAATCTCCATATAGACATTTGTAAAATATACTTTTAATAATAAATTCTGAAGTGCAAACAACACACCTTTCAGACTAGAATTTCACAAACGGACCTACTTTGCAATTTCATGTAAGCTAGTCCGTTATAAGGATAAACAGTTCTAAACAGAAAGTATTTCAATGCAAGTAATTTTCTGATGTATCACTTTTACTGACGGTATAGATTTTGTGAAGCGCTTGTAGTACCTCTATCTCGAGATTATTGCTAATTTTAGCGCTCAGAACATGTTCTTCATTTTACACTTACAACATCTTCTTTTGTATTCTAAGTACTTACATATATTTTCTTACAAAACATTATTATGAACTGTTGATACTGAACGCAATAAAGTAAAACTTTTTTCACAGAATGTTATTTTACATTAATGTTCGAAAGTTTCTTTTAGTCTTAATAATAGAAAAAAGACTGAACTATCGTAAATTTATTTAAAATGAAAATAATTTAATCTTTTTATCAAGCTAAACCTACCTCTCAACAATATATAAAACACTATTAGCAAAAAAAGTAACATTGAACAGTTTATAACTTCATTAAAATTACAGACAATATCCTGCATTGTTTACTTTATGACTCAAACAGCATGGGCAAATTTAAAGTCCCCCATTCATTATTATTCCTTTCTCATTCATTATTATGTGCTAAAACAAATGAAGACTGTTTTTGTTTAAGATCTATATCTTTGAAATATGTTTATGTGCTAAAAACTTAATATGAGCTTTGTATTTTAAGGGTGAAACACCTTAACAACCCATAAACACCATGTTTCATTAAAAACAATCAAGCCCCCAAAAGAGTCCAAGCCTGATCGTATAACGATCTAACTCTTTTCGTAACATGCAGGAAAATTCTAAGATGTATTTAAGCTATATATTACCTAATAATAAACAAAATCTTAATAAAAAAGTGTAACAGACTGGCATACCATATCATGAACAGCTTTTGAACTCATACAACATATAGAACTATGGACTCCAGAATTTCAAATCAATATCAGACTATAATGCAGTGTTGTAAAAGGAATTCTTTGTAACTGTTCCTGACCAGGGACTGCCTCAGCTTTAAGTGTACTTAATACCTGAATGTAATTTCATTCCACACAGAATTTTTCTCACTATTTCATACACCCTAGAAACACATTGCAATTTTTAGACAGTTTACCTCAATCAACCACAAATGTTTCACAGAACTGAAAGAAAATTGCTCCATTCATATTTCCCCAAATCTATAACTTTATTTTTTTAAATCCATTAAGTGATTTCTAGTGGATTATATTCCAGAGCTGTAAAAGTGATTATGAGCATATCTAATGTGTGGACATATTCTAAATTATCTGGAAAAAACTTGCACTCATTTTGGTTAACTACGTCTTGAATATATTTCCGACCTCAAACTTATATCAGCTGTAGAAGGACTGAAGAACACTACGGACATATCGAATCATTGCCATCTGTGTTCTAAGCCAATTATTACCTGACTTTCAGTTATCACATCCATCATTCAAAAACTTCACGGAATCCTTAAGTATAAAGTCAACAACAGAAGAACAATAGTATCCACTCCTTTCAGTAATTCAATATTTTTTCTAGTGATACAATATTTCCATTGGATATCCTTGTTTAATAAGAAGGGTTACATTTTGGGGGGTCTTACAATAATACAAGTGGAAAATCAACACAGATCACCTGGTGGGTAAATATTCTATCTATGATAAGTGTTCTGAAATTGTCAGTCTAGTTTTACAGTGATCTATTGACAAATATCACAAAGTGGTGAAGCTAATTCTTTCTAAAACACGCCTTTTTAAAATGCTGGTCGGGCTCTCATAATCAAATCACATCCGCAAAAAATTCATATATTAATATTCCTTTATGTAATATTGAATATGTTTTTAAAGAGATTGAAAGCCATTCAAGCTTAGCCCATTTTTGGACCTACTTTCCCTCATTCTCCAAACCGTCTTTATCTGACATTTTCGGGTCTGCATTTCAGAATACTTTTATTATATGTTTACTACCGTGCTTCAACTACTCGCCTCATAACAATGGAAACTCCAATTTTTTATTCTAATTTTCGTGACAAAATGGCAGGATAACTGTTTTAAATTCCACTTTGTACCATCCTCCCCCAATTTCATAAAATTAAAAGTCCGAACATAGCTTTCTGTCACCACAAACCATAAACGTGGTAATTTGTTAAAAAATACTTTTTTCATAGAAAATACAGAGAAATTCAGTACATGTCGTTTTGGTTTGTAAAAAAAGAAAGCCTAGTACTTACTTTAATAGCAAATCAAATATATCCAAGTTCTTTGCCAGTATTGCATATTGGAGAGCTGATCGTTTTAACCTTCTATCAGTTGCATCAATTTTGGCACCATTTTCAAGAAGAAATCGGCAAATCTCTATATTGCCAGAGTTGACAGCTAGGACCAGAGGTGGAGTTCCTTTGCCATCCTTTTTCGAAAAAATCTGTAATTCACATCAATATGCTTTTCAAATAAAGGCAACATTTAAAAGCAAAATAATACTTGGAGATAATCATTCCTTATTAATCTTGTTCGTTACACTTAAGAAGTTTGAAGCTCAGGTAGAACAGTTTGCAGAGCACATTCTACTGTTGGAAGAATTATATTTTAGAAACTTTATAAGGTACCCCCTTCCTCCTGCTTTCCCCAGGGACATCCTATAGACTAACTAAATACCCCCTCCAAAAATGTTTTGCTAATCAAATAGTAGGCAAAGAAACAGCCTTATAAAAGTATCCTTAAATGAACTTGGACACTACAGTACTCAAAAGATGCGTCAATTCATTTACCACTGGAACTTATACAGCAAAACTCGGTTATAACGAAGTCGCTGGGACCTATGAAATTACTTCGCTTTATCCGTAATTTGCTATAACCGTATGAGAAAATCATTAAAATTATATAGCTGGGAATTAAGATGACTTCGCTATATCCGTGATTTCGCAATATCCGTGTTCGTACTAAACGAGTTTTGCTGTATACACACTTTTATTGGTTCAATACCAATTAAAGAATGTTTATAAGTGTTTTGAACAGATATAGTACGAGTGAGCCTTTGAAGATCTACTTCGTTTTGTTTAAAATGCTACAAGAAAACGAAATAAACGGTGCCATAATTCAAAATTCAGTATTCAAACTCGAAGTCATATCAAACAATAAAAATCAGGATCAGAGCAAACATGGACCTCTAAAACATCAGAGGTGGAATCAGAGACCATGGAGGAGTAAGCATTTCCTTTTAAATCGGTCACACCCGCAGTGTTTTCCTTGTCATGATAGGAAAAATAGGAAAATCTGCGTATAATTCAATGTAAATAGTGACATAACAATAAATACGAAAACCATCCATCAGCATTTGACTTATTGATAGATTGTATTTGTTGACAAGGTTATTGTATCGACCACATAAAACTTGCAAAATGATGACTATAAAAGAGACTGTTGATATTCACATCAACTTGTTTTATCAAATTAAACAGTTCCTAGAACATGCTCTTTTGGGTTGAATCAACTCAGAAATATGAACCCTATATTCAGGAGATAAGGATATATATTATAGATAAGTGAGGGAAGTTGACTATCCAAAAAGTTGACGCTTTGTCGTTAGGTTACCGTTTAAATAGCGTCTTTTATTCTAGTTAATATCTAAAATATAAAATAAATGTGCCAGACTCTGTAAACACAAATACTAATGCCCCCTCATCCACCACCGAATTTATCCAACCCACAGTTCTTGATATCTTGAAAATAATGTGAGAAAAGACAAATCTTTTAAAGTTTTATAAAAAAAAATTAAACGAAATATTACGTTCTTTTGTTAAGAATCCTCAATTATAACCTCACTGACGATAAAATGTACTTAATTGTCTTCATTTTTCCTTTGTATAAGGACAAAGAAAAGCGAGAATGAAAAAAAAAAACCAAGATTATTGATAAAATTCACAGCCATACTCCTCTCACATTTTTATCAAGATTATTAATATTAAAGAACAAAATCTTTTTGGTGGCAGGCATTAATGACTGGAAATATGACACCGGAGAGAAAAAAGCAAACATAGGTCCTGGAGAGACACGATGGGACATTTCTTATTACCAGATGTAACGCTAGTGATTAGTCAATACACCACAACTATTAATCTCTTACGACCTCTTTTGTTGTTGTGAAGTCATGTGGAGATATTCCTCAATTTCTCAATTATGAAGGTTCGCAGGTCCCGGTCAATCGAATGGGATTAATAATTGGTTCGCAAATGTAAGCCTACGTACAGATTAAAACCCCTTACAAACTTCAGAATATGTGCAATTTCAAAAGCAAGTGAAAAACAATATGAGCATCAAGCAATATATTTCAGAATGAATGAATCTTACATATGTATATATGTTTTGAATCAAATCTCCATCTTTTTGTCTCTACATCATGATTAAAACTACTAGTTACTAGGTGAACTATACTTTCAATTTAGCATTTCTCTGGAAGGAAAAGATCACCCATCACTGGCTCTGTGGCTCAATTAAGTATTCATTAGGTTAAACGACATTTATCATACAGTGATTGATTTTCTCTTTTCAATACTGAGATAAAAGACCAGTACCACCTTTTCACAATTTCAAAACTGTGTATCGGTACATCGATATTGGAACAACTGAATGGTGATTTGTAAAACTAACGGATCGCATAAGTTCAGATGTGAAAAGAATACATAGAATTTTAAGTGTCTTCTTTTGTTGTAGACGACTACACAAATTAGCAAATCCTTGTGACAAACTTGTTATATTTAATTACAAAGAAAAATTTATTTACAAGGATGTTTCTATGCATAAATGACAAAATGAAGAAGAAATATTGATTCATATACGTTATGTTTAAAGTGAACATCCAATTGATCATTATTAATGAGATAAAAATATATACATACATATTCTCAACCATTTAATCTGAAATCTAATTGTCATTGTGAAATACCACAGTAGAGAGCCCAAATAAGACCATGTAATAACGACAATGACAGGTGCGCGTGTTGCATGTTTAGATATGCGTATTTCCAATTAAACTAAACGAGGAAGACTTCAAATGATTACCCCCACCCGCTCTCCCAATTCTTGATATTGCATACACCCTGGCAACCGAGGAATGCTTCAGATATATTTACCGTTAAACTCATTTCTACTTAAAATTAAATTATTGACAACTATAGACAACAAGCATGTGCGATTACAAGTTGAATTGAACTCTATGAAACACTTTGAAGTCTGTTTTATGTAGAGTTTGAATTATGCTAAAAAGATAATTAATCAGTATTATATCGAAGGATCTACACCAGAATGACCATTTCAATTATTAAATAAGATTCAATACATTTCAAAAATACTAATAAAAGGTCCCTTTACGCAAAGTTTACTTTGGTCAATAAAGCTAGTTAATATTTTTACTTATTTCAGTAGTAGAGGGATGATATGGATGTAGAGAACAAAGATAAAGTTATGTCTTATAAGTTTTTACAAAACGGTTTAAAGATTTACACGACTGTAACTAATAGTCACGAAATAAAAACTACCGGTAATGAACTTCAGAAGGAGAAAAAGACTCATTCTTATTTGCCACATTGTTTTATAATATTTTTGATGTTTCAAATCGACACTTACTTGTCAGGGGTAATCCAAATTGCAATACCGAACACACAAAATAAACTCCAACAATATTATGTATCCACTCTCGTTTAACACGCTTTGGCTATTCTTTAGGATTAATGGTTTAAAAAACACTTTCACGAATTCATGGCACACTAATCTGGAACGGCGTTTTTTAATTAAAGAATCTCAATTAATATCTCTCCAAGCCTCGTATAAATAAGGATTCGTATAAAGTACAGAAAAAGTAGACCTTTATGATAGCTATTAAAGCCGGGGTATCCGTAATTTCTTCCTTGCCAGTAATGTTACATGATTCCGCGGGTTTAACTGCTCTTTATTACGCGAGAGTCCTAGTGAAAAATCCGCCATCCGTGATTGGTTAAGAACAATAGCGCGTGCGTGGAGGCGAAGAGTTTAAAAACGAAAACAGGTATGTTCAACAAAAAGTGAGTTTGTGCAACATCCAGCATTGTAAAATAAAATAATTTCAACTATACAGCAACGTACTTGACACGACTTGCTTCATTATAAACTGCCTCACAATGGAAAGTACTATAGATATTTGCATGTCATTTCGTCCAAACTCTGGAAAACACGCTGGGATTGTTCAACTTGTCGTGAGTGCTTTATTAAAATGTTCAGATAGTTGTTTGTTGTGAACATTATCTAAGGTATGCGATTCAATTGCGCTATCAATTCCACTTAATAAAGCAGGCATAGAGGTAATGAAGAAAATCATTAAAAGTCCAATATTCCGATAGAATACATCAGGTATAAATTGGGTTTGAAAACAGATATGTTGACGCCTTTTGTAATACATTGGCATTTTCGAGTTGTCATTTTCTCATTGCAAACGTATTTGTAGGTTGAAATTTTATTAAACATATTTCTATAGTCATAATGCACACCTCACAATGTGCTTTTTATTAAGGAGCTAATGGAAGTGTCATCTAATTTTTATTCATCATATCATTTTCGGATTTGGGATTTGGAACAGAATTTAAAAAGATCATCAACATGTTTATATATCATTGGATGATTGAACAAATTTCAGTCGAAAGAAAATCTCATCTTTACCATTCAGGTAAAACAAAATATGCCAAAGAAAATTATAGATTAGAGTTGTTTACTTTTAAAAATTGTGATGGTTATTATTAAATCTGAATTGTTAATATATTGTCAATTTTACTGTTAATTGTTAATTAATGTACTTTAAAAATATATGACTCTGTTAACAAAAAATACAGCATTAATGCAATTTAAATGTCGTTTGATTGTAATTAATATCGTTGCTTATTCTGTGTTTAATGCTTTCAAGTTCATGGTAGAAAAAAAGTTTGGTTGTGCCAAAGAACCAACCAGTCAGCAAAGTCCAGGAAAAAACAGTACTTAGTAATAAAGGAAATTGATCGGATGTGACCATTACCAACATCATAAGTACTAGTATTTCTGATGTTTATATCTCATATCCTCATCATTGTCAACTCTTTAACTGTAACCTAACAGTGGAACGACAGTATTTGCAGTTAGGTATGGCAGATATAGATCCTTGTAATATGTTAATTAACTCCGACGACAATGTGTGCCAAAGGAATATCGCCAATGAGGGTAAGTGCATTTTATTGCTGAAGGCAATACGTACGGTACGATAAAAAAATACAGTATTATTAAGGAATGAAACATATGGAGATAACGAAAACTAATCAAGATCAAAAGTCCATAAAACAATACAAAATAGAGCAAAGCAAACATGGACCTCCAAAACATCAGAGGTTGGATCAGGTATCATGGAGAGGTGAACGTCTCCTGCCG